TGAGCACTTTATTTCTCCCTGTTCTGCGACCTTGGTCTGTGGTCATTAGTTGGGCACATGCTCAACTCACTCTGTTTCCCCTCAATGTCTCGCACACAGCCTTGCCCACAGGAAATGCTCAGTAAGTCTCTGGAAGCAAATACGCTACACTCAGGACAGAGGCAGACTGAAGAGCCAACACTACAGCGTGAGGGAGTTAAGGTGACTAAAGACAACCTGTTGACAATGAGACTTGTTGGAATCCAGAACAGATTGCTAAATGGCACTTAGGAGCCTCCCCACTCCGAAGATTTTTCAATCAGAAGCAGCACTTTCGTCATCTGTCCAAGATTTTGCAAAAGAGGCAGGAAGGCAGGCCAGACGTCTCAGGGCACTCCCCGCAGTGCCGACCCACGTAAGCCGTAAGCCGCCTGAATGACGGAACTAATCACGCACAGCTAACGCTGAGCGCTTGCATTCAGCGCATTGTCTTGTTTGATCCTCACAGCAGCCTCTGAGTACAGCCTGGTCTTATTTCCCTGTTACAGGTGAGGAAACTGAGGGATCAAATCAGCTGCCCTAGATCCCACAGGTGGGAAGTGTCAGACCGCAGCTCCTTCTGACTCCACGGCTCTCACTCCGGCTGCCCTGGAACAGGCTTATGTCTAAGCAAGTCGTGTCTATCCCCACGCAGCTGTGCACATTGTATACACAGAAAGACGTGTCCACAAAAATGCGCACAGAGGCCCCCACGCACCACACCCTGTCCTGCCCACACACTCAGCCGAATGAAGGCAGGCTGGGCCGTACACACACTCCCGATGCCACATGGATCTCAGCTTTTGTAGTTTTTCTAGCAAAAAAAAAAAAAAGTCAAAGAGATAAATGACTTAGAATGAGCCCTGAAGATTCGAGTGGAGAGGAATCTGGCACCTTCAGTTTACTAAAAGCCCTGCTGAGGAGCAGCAAAGCCCACAGGCTCATGGAGACACCCAGCCGCAAAGGGCAAGCAGGCTCCTGACAGGCCCCGCTGTCTATTGGACACCAAAATGGAAGTAAATAGACTCCCACAGGCCGTGTCTTGGCCCTAACTGTTGCCTGTTCCCAAGCTGGAGGCCGGAGGCACACTTACTATTAGTGGGGTATGGCGTAGGGAAAGGGGACGTGGCCATCAAGTCGAGAACTCCCAAGGCCACACAAGCAGAAGGCATCAGGAAGTGCAGCGGCAGAGGAGCATGTGACAGGCACACAATGGCCTTCTGACCTCAGGCTCAGGGTAGTACTTCCAACCCTGGAGGAAAGGAGGCCTGGGCCCCACACGCAACAGCCCTCAGCCCAACTCCAAGTATTCTCAGGGCTCAAAGTTCTCTTTCAACCCTAAATTCTGAGACTTGGATTCCACTGGTAACATTCCAGGCTCAAGGATGGGCAGAGCATGGTCTGTTTTTTACCCCCATCAGAGAACCAGCAAGACTGGTTCTCAGAGTCCCCTCGCCATCTGCCCCCCCACACACACCAAAAAAGCCTTCAGGGAGCCTGGGCTCTTGCTGGGGAAGAACTTGGGTCTCTCAGGGAAGCTTGAGCCTAAGTAGCTGGCCTAAAATTAGGTGACGGCTACTCGGGGAAGGTGAAGCAGCAGCAAGCAGAGGACAGCATGGCCACCAAACCCTCTGCCACTAGGAAGAAGACAGGGACTGAAAACACAGACGTACAGCAAGCTTCCCTGCCAGTCGGCAGACAACCACTGAGGCCCCATGAACTGTCTAGTGGGCAGAGGAAACCCAGGCAAGGTCCCTGTCCCATGGTCACCACAAACTGGTAGGAGAGAAAGACACGCAGAGCAGCAGCCCAGGAGAGCTGTGCAAGGCACAGCCAAAGTTCCCCAGAGGGCAGGCCAGGTCGCCCCAGGCAAATATTTTCAAGCCTGTCCTGTCTTCCTTACAAGCTCCTACAGAAGACCAATGGCATTAATGTGTGTGACTGTGATAGTAAAATATCTACAAGGGACTCACGTGCTTACTGTAAATTGGATCTGGGAAGAAACCTCAGAAATTATGCACACACACAGAATTACATGTAAACTGACAGAAGAACACACACATGTGAAGGTTTCACCGGAAGCTGTACTTTTACATCCTCTGGGGAGTCAGATGTGACAAGCCTGTCTCCTGCAGGTCCCCCTCCCCCATACACCTCTGCTCTCAAAGGTCCACCCCTCCAGGGAAGGGGGCTGCTTTCTCACAGACCTCCACTCCTCGGGAGCTTTTCCTGATTACTGCTATGTGGTGAAAAAAAAGCCCACTCCGCCCCCACTCCTGGGTCTGAAATGCCACCATGGGAATCTGAGCCATAGAACTGAAAAGTTGGAATGGACCTTCAAGCTCCAGTCCAACCCCCACCCCAGAAGAAATCCTGTCCGCAGACACCCTGACAGATGGCCACGGTCGGCCATTCTCTCCTATGTGCTCCAGTGTTTGGGGAGCAGTCCCAGCACTGTGGGCTCACTCCTTGAGTCTAGAAAGAATTCGCCTCTTCTAAGGCTGGCCTCCCCTTGAAGGCCCACATGCCTGGGAAGGAGAGCAAGGAGAGCCTCAGCTGGCCTGAGCCTCGAATTCTGCCTTTCGCAAGAGCTGAAGACAATCACCTGGGAGCTGGACAAGAGACCAGAGAGGGAGCCGGGGCCCAAAGACGTGGGGCCAGGAAGGGAGGCAGGCAGGCAGGTGCCAGACCCGCTGCGCAGGTTCGCCTGGGGACCTTGACGGGGCGCAGCACATGTGCACGCATGCACACGCATGCACACAGACTCGCACTTTCAGAGCTGCCTGTCAGACAGCCAAATTGGGGTCTCCATCTCACGCAGAGGCAGAAGGGGTCCACCTTGCCCCAGAAACCTAGTGGGGACCCGCACAACCAAAGCTTCCAAGCCCGGGCAGCACCCGCATGCCACCAGGAGACAGCCCCTGCCAACAGAGGGCACAGCTCACAGAGGGTCCGCCTGGCAGCTGGGCTCCCCAAATCCCACAGACCAGTCCTCACACTCCAGCAACGCTGAAGGAGAAAAGCTTCCCTGGCTGCAGCTGTCACATCTGCCTGGGAGGGAGGAGGCACAGCGGCACAGCACCTGATCCCAGGATCCCTTCGCAGCCGCAGCCCAGGAGGCCAGTTCAGCCGCTGGCAGCCCAGGGTGAAACACGAAGACTCAACAGTCCCCCAGGGATGCTGATGGCAGTCCCACAGCAGAGAGGGGCAAGCTGGGTCACAGGGCGGAGGGCGCTTCCCATGCAGGCTCCTGTCACTGCAGGTTTGGGAGGGGGCGAGCGGCGGCACTGGGGCCCTGGGCCCTCCTCGCGGCCTGACGCAGGCCCCAGATGCCCAGCTGGGTGCAGGACGCCATCTTGGGTCAAGGTGCAGCCACGGGGGGCTCCCCTCGCGACCTGGGGACTGGCGACCCTGAGAACTGACGAGCCCCTATTCCCCGCCCGAGGCGCCAACACCTACTCAACTGGCTTTGCAGAGGAGAGAGGAGGCGGAAGGACCGAGGGGATGAAGAGAAAAGGGGGAAAACAGAGGTAGGGTGGGGAGGGAGTGGGTTCCCCCAAGAAGCGAGGCTCCAGGAAAGCTAAACGAAGTTTGGCAGCCGGAGGGCGGCGGGCCCCAGCGACAGGGGGCTGGGGGAGGCCGGGGGCGGGTCCTGGCCCCACGCCAGCTCGGTCCGCGCGGGAGGGGGAGGGAGGGCAGGGCGGCCTGGGGGAGGGGAGCCGGGGTGAGGGCGGGACACGGACCAGAGCCGCCCCGCGACTCCCGGGGCACAGGGACTCAAGCCCGATGACCCCGATCTGCAGCCTCGGTGAGGCCTCGTCCTTCACTGTGCAGATGCGAAGCTTTCAAGGACACGTCTGCACCGGCCCAGCTTGGGTGCGTGTGCGTGTGTGTGCCCGCGTGCGTGCTGAGTGTTCAGGAGGGGGTGTTTCTGCTGCGGGGGCGACCCCGGACGCCCCCATCCGCGTGGCACCCCGGCTGCCCGCTACTCCTACCCCTGCGTTTTCCGGCCCCGCAGCCGGGGCTGGGATACTCGCCCGCCTCCGCCCCGCCCCTACACACTGCGGCTGCCGCCACCGCCGCCACCGCCACCGCCGCCCGGGCTCCCACGGCCCAGGCCCACAGCGGGGGACAGGGAGGAGCCAGGCACCAAGTCCACCCCCCGCACACTGCCGGCCGTCTGTGGGGAGGTGTGCCCCCCAAGTGCCTCACCACCCCTCCCAGATACACTGGCACCCCGCACCCCCAGCCACAGGTGGCCGAAGGAGGATCGCTGAGCAGCGTTCCCCGGCCGGCCCCCGATCACCCCTCGCGGACCGCCCCCCGGAGCCTCCCGGTCCCCGCCCCGCTCTCCGTGGAGCCTGGGGGAGGGGCGGGGGGCCGGGTCGTGCCAGGCTGCCATTTTCTGCCGCCGCTGCGGAGCCTGCGCTGGGCCCGCGCCCCCCTCCTCCGCTCCCTGCGGGCCGCGGTGGGAGCCGATTATTCTGGGTCGTGGTCCGGGCCCTCCTGCTCCCGGCCGCAGGCCCCAGGCGGGGCTCCGGGGCCGGGGCAGGACCGGAAGGCGGGGGTGGCCGGTCCGGAGTCCCTGCGGCAGCGCCGAGCCGGGCACCAAGGCTGAGGCCAGCGGGGGAGGGCCCCCCACCCTCGCCCCCGGCGGCATTGTATAGACTTGAACTTGAGCCCGGAGCAGGGCGGGGGCGCGAAGGGGGCTCCGCGCCGGGAGCGGGCAGGACGGGAGGGGGCGCCTGCCGAGCCCGCGGGGACATAAACAAACCCTCAAATGCCCCGCGCCGCTGCGGCCAGCCCAGCCCGCCGTCACCGCCCGCAGCCCTGGCCCTGCGGGCGCCCGACGCCGAGTTGCAGGGGTCCGGGAGCATGCCCTGAGCCGGGCACTGCCCGCCGCTGTGCCCCTCGCCCGGCCTCCCCTCCTCCTCGCCCCACTCCAGCCAGCTGCCTGGGCCGCCAGGAGCGGCGCTCATTACCGTGTGGCCGGTGGGGTCGGGCCGGCCCGTCTGCGCGCCTTGGTGCCACGGCGCCGCGTCCCGGATCGTCCTCTGGTCTCGACGCCGCCGCCGCCGCCCGCGCGCCCTCGCTCCCGGCCGCCTGCCTGCCTCGCTTGCTCGTGCCCGCCCCTCTGCGAGCTGTCGTGTTCGTTCGTTCGTTCTCTCCGCCTCCTCTGCCTGGGTCCCCCCTCCCACCCTTCTCTCCGCCTCCCTCCTTCACCCGCTCCCGGAGAGAGCGCGGGCCCAGGCCTCCGCCTCGCCCCCCGCGGCCGTGCTGGCCCCTGCCCGGCGCTGCGGAGCCGGCCAGGAGGCAACACCAACTGGGGGACCCGGGGCGCCGCGGCCCGGACACGCGGCTGGTCCTAGCGCCCACGGTCCCACTTCCCGGCCTCTGCGGCCCCGCCGGTGGTCCCCGCACGCTGCGAGGCAGAGAGCTGGATCCCTCAGCTCCCCAACCCTGCGCTGGGCCTGGGCACCCCGTCTCGGCCGCGCTCCGGGCCACACCGCCGGGGACCTTGCTGCAGCCCTCCCCCCACCAACCGCCCGCAGGGCGCTCCGCTACCTGGTGCTGCGTCCGCGCTGGTTCCCCGCATCCAGCACTGGCCGCAGGGACAGCGGCCCCTCCTCTACCCGGGCCGGTATCAAGTGCTCCCTCTCCGCAGCCCGAGAAGCCCCCCACGGCCTTCGCCCTGCAGTTCTCCCGACCTCCACCAGAGCCCACTGCCCTCTTTCCTGCCTCAGCACTGGGGCTGGGGACAGCACCGCAACCCCACCCCACCCTCCACCCCCGCCAGGTGGGATGGCCGAGGGGAGGCCGCCGCTCAACGGGGCCAAGGTCGGGACGCCAGGCCCATCCCGGCCGTCCTAGAGGCCCGTGGGCCTCTACAGGATAAGCCCCCTGGAAGGGAGTGAGCTCCCTGTACCTTGAGGTGTCCAAGTAGTGCTCTCAGTTGGGGCAGTAGAAGACTGAAAGATTTCGTGGAGTAGGAGGTTAAATTAAATGACATTGAAGATCCCTTCCAGTTCGAAGATTCTGTGCACACCTACATGGAACCTCACACGTACCCCTTGCTGTGGGGGTTGTTTTTATTTCCCACAGAGTTCTCAGGGCTCCAGGTTTCTGATTTGGGGCATCTCTGTCTGCTTCCAACAGCACAGTCACCCTCTGCTCCTCACTCTCCAACTGCCACCTTTGGGACTTGGCGCTGGGTCCCCGGCCCCCAGCCTGGCTCCCTGCTTCTGCTTTCACCTCCACCAGCCACTGCGCACCCCCATCCCATCCATGTGGCTTCAGCTACATGGATGTGCCCTGAGCTCTGTAACCCAGGACACAGTGCGGTCCCTTCCCCAGGCACCCACCACCCCACTTGTGGGCAAGGGCCACTGAAGAGGGCCCCTAGGCTGCCCGTGCTGAAAACAATATATTTCCCCCACGAGCTTCACCCCTCCCAGGGTCACAGGAACAGAGTTACCGAACTCTTTGGGACACAGAACTGACCTTTCATCCAAGAGAGTTTCCTCTGGAAGTCTTCCAAGGCTTCCAGGTCCTTTAGTCTGTCCCACTTCCTGAAACTCAAGATCAGAGGCCACTCTCCACACAACTGTCCTGGCCTTTTTCAATGTCGCCCTCACTCAAGCAGTCACCCTATGCCACTGATGATAAGCCCTACTATCCATAGTTTCTACCTGGCCAGTTCTGGAGACTCACCATGTTCCTTCCATGAGGACAGGGACCTTATCTGTCATCTCTATAGCCCAGCACTCAGCACATAGTAGGTTCTTAATAAACCTTGGTTAAATGATTATGTGCACTGCAGGCCCCTTGCCGTTTTGCTTTCGACATTAAGATGAGCATCCGCAGACACTCTAAAGCTTGGCTAAGAGGACGCCCATGTTTAGAAAGATGGCTGCCATTCCTCTCCCTTCCTCAAGCACTTATGTAATACTGCCTCCAAATAGCAGCTACTGTTTACTGAGTGTTTCCTGTGTACCAGGCACCAGAGTTGGCATTTTCCCCTTAGTCCTTACCAACCCTGTGAGGTAGTTCATATCATCCTTACTCTACAGCTGAAGAAACTGAGGCTTAGTCAAAGTGATAGAGCCAGGATTGCCACGATGAGTGATGTAAGTTTCTATTCAGTAGAACCATTTATGATGAAATCATTGGGAGCCCATGACATGTGTGACCTTGGATGTCTGTGTTGCTGGGGTCAATCTGCCCAAGGTAACCATGTTAGGAGGGTTTCATCCAGTGAGAAAAACCATGCAACTACAGGGTAGGTTCCAGAACCTGACCCTGATGTCTTTGGCATGAGGAGGACCCTCCAGGTGGTCCTGAGAAAAGGCATATCAGTGCTGGCTAATCCTACTGGGCCTTCCTCACCATGCATCACACTGGGTCCAGCCTACATTGATCTTTTGGGCTCTTATGACTCCCTCACTTGTGTCTGCCACACTGTGGCCTGACCAGAATTCTGGTTGGTCCTAGATCATCTGGGGTGAGGGGCAGTATGAGTATGGACAGGCTAGGTTATCCTGCAGTAACAAGCAACCCCAAGTCTTGGTGACTTAAAACTACAAAGGTTTGGACTTCCAGACAAGATGGAGGCAGAGGTAGATACAGTTCGCATCCTCACACAACCAAAAGAAGGACAAAAAATTTAAAAACAAAAAACAACCAGAACTGCCAGAAAATTGAACTGTATGGAAGTCCGACAACCAAGGAATTAAAGAAGAAACATTCATCCAGACTGGTAGGAGGGGTGGAGATGGGAAGCTGGGGCAGAGAGGACATGCAGCAAGGTGGCAGCTAGAGAACCGGGGGGCGAGGTAGCGGCTGGCAGTCCCACATTTATGTGTGGATAAACTGGGAGAAACAACTGGGGAGTGAGACAGACCACACAACCCAGGGTTCCAGTGTGGGAAAAGAAAGCCTCAAAACTTCTGGCTATAAAAATCTGTGGGACTTGTGGCAGCGAGAAAAACTCCCAGCCTCACAGGAGAGTTCATTGGAGAGACCCACAGGGTCCTAGAATGCACACAAACCCATCCACCCAGGAATCAGCACCAGAAGGGCCCAATTTGCTTATGGGTAGTGAGGGAAGTGACTGAAAGCAAGCCAAGAGCCGAGCAAGCAGCATTGCTCCCTCTCTGATCCCCTCATATATTGCCACAACCACAGTCAGGTGAGTTGCCCTGCCCTGGTGAATACCTAAGCCTCCACCCCTTACAACGTAACAGGAGCACCAAGACAAAGAAATATGGCTGAAATGAAACAACATATCAAAACTCCAGAAAAAATACAACTAATCAATGAAGAGATAGCCAACCTATCTGGTGCAGAGTTCAAAACACTGGTAGTCAGGATGCTCACAGAAAAGGTTGAGTATGGTTGCAAAATAGAGGAAAAAGTGAAGGCTATGCAAAGTGAAATAAAGAAAAATATACAGGGAACCAACAGTGAAGGGAAGGACAAGAATTCAAAAAGGTAAGGAGAGGCTTAGGAACCTCTGAGACAACTCTAAATGTTCCAACATCCGAATCATAGGAGTGCCAGAAAGAAAAGACGAAGAGCGAGAAATTGAAAACTTACTTGAAAAAATAATGAAAGAGAACTTCCCCAATCTGGTGAAGGAAATAGACTTCCAGGAGAACCAGGAAGCTCAAAGAGTCCCAAGGGAGTTGGACCCAAGGAAGCACACACCAAGGCACATCATAATTACATTACCCAAAATTAAAGATAACAAGAGAATCTTAAAAGCAGCAAGAGAAAAGGAGACAGTTCCCTACAAAGGAGTTCCCATAAGACTATCAGCTGCTATCTCAAAAGAAACTTTGCAGGCAAGAAGGGGCTGGAAAGAAGGATTTGAAGTCATGAAAGGCAAGGACCTACATCCAAGATTACTCTATCCAGCAAAGCTATCATTTAGAATGGAAGGGCAAATAAAGTGCTTCCCAGATAAGGTAAAATTAAAGGAGTTCATCATTACCCAACCCTTTATTATATGACATGCTAAAGGATGTATCTAAGAAAAAGAAGGTCAAAACTATGAACAGTAAAATGACAACAAACCCACAACTCTCAATATTGAACCTACAAAACATAAACTAAGCAAACAACTAGAACAGGAAAAGAATCTCAGAAATGGAGATCACATGGAGGGTTATCAGCAGGGAGGGGGAGGGAGAAGAATGGGGGAAAAGGTACAGGGAATAAGAAGCATAAATGGTAGATACAAAATAGACAGGGGGAGGTTAGGAATAGTATAGGAAATGGAGAAACCAAAGAACTTATATGTAGGACCCATGGACATAAACTAAGGAGTCGGGGGGATGCTGACAGGAGGGGGAGGTGCAGGCTGGAGGGAAATAAAGGGAAGGGGAATACGGGGCAAATGTTATAGCATAATCAATAAAACATACTTTAAAAAAACTACAAAGGTTCTACGGAAAACAGTATCGTGGTTCCTCACAGAAATTAAACAGAATTACCATATGACCCAGCAATTCCACTTCCAGGTATATACCCAGGAGAATTGAAATCAGAGGCTCAAATAGACATTTGTACAGCAGTGTTAATAACAACGTTATTCACACTAGCCAAAAGGTAAACAACCCAGATTTCATCAACTGATAGGTGGAGAAGTAAACTGTGCCATATACACGACGATGGAATATTATTCAGCCTTTAACAGGAAGGGAATTCTGACAGGTACTACAATGTGGATGAACCTTGAAGACATGCTAAGTGAAATAAGTCAGACACAAAAGGGCAAATACTATATGAGTTACCTAGAAAAGGCGAAATCATCGAGACAGAGTAGAAGAGTGGTTGCCAGGGGCTGAGGGAAGGGTGGAGTAGGGAGTCAGTGTTCAACGCGCGCAGAGTTTTAGTTTGGGAAGGTGGACAGTGGTGACGGTCGCACAGTGTGTGAATGTGTGTAATGCTCCTGAACTGTACACTTACAAATGGTTACAGTGCTCCATTTTATGTTATATATATTTTACCACAATAGAAGTAGAGCACAGTACAACTGTAAATTAAATTTATTAAATACGTTATTAAAAACATAATTTCTTTTCTTGCGCCTGTTACATGTCCGTGGCTGGTCTGCA